GGCCTGGGCTTGGGAGGTGTCCCCTGCCTTCCCGGTTCCAGCCTCCTGCCGGGATGGGGCCCAGGGGTCAGGGTTAGGGACACAGGCAGCAGAGGAGGAAGGATGCTGAGAGGCCCTGACAAGGGGGAGAGACCGGTGCTCAGGGCAGGCATCTGGGCTGAGTTCTCCGATCCCGTGGTCTTTGCCCGTGTCCTCTCCTCTCCCTGAGCCTTGACAGGCAGAGCCCGAGGCTCTGCTTGCTCCTCCTTATGAGTAAGAAACAGCAGTTCCTCCTGGGTTCCTAACCACGAGATGAGTCCACAAATTTCTTTTCTCTAGTCTATTATGTTGTCATTAGCAGGAACTAAAAGGTTATTGAAGGTCACCAAAAGCCAAAAGCCAAGTGAAAATGAGAGTCCTGGGAGCTGTCTGTCAGGGTTGAGTGACAGCTCTGGCTACCACAGCCCTCAGCTTCCAGATGGTCTGCACAGGCTTCCTTCTCCCCACACCGCTCCTGCTGGGAACGCTGTCCCCACCTCTCCCTTGGCTGCTGTCCCCCAGCCCTGGCCACGCAGCTACAGGCCACCGGCCACGCCGACCTCTCTCACTGGTAAACACCCGTGGGCAGGACTGTGACAATGGTCTTGGTGTCCCTGGCCCAGAGCCTCCACTGCAGTTTGCTGAGCTGGAGGGATGGGCACCCTTGTTTTAAAGAAAAGGGAGGCAAAACCTTGGAAGCCATGCGCTGGGCGGTGGCCACTCTGAGGGAGTCTGGCAATGCCAGTGCCTGCCTGCCTGGCTGAGTCCCTCGGGGCCCCGGCACAGGTGGCTGCAGAAACAGCACTGGCTACCCCCCACCAAGCTCCTCCACTCAGTCAAGCAAGCAACAGCTCCCCATGCTAGAAGAGTCCCCTCTCGCTTGGTTAATGTTACCAGATGGGGAATTCGGCAGTTACTGAACCCTTGTGAGAGGGCACAGGGTCAGGAGCTGAAGCCAGGAGGGGCCACAGACCCTCCTCAGAGGTGAGCAGAGTGGTCCTCCTAACTCCAGCCACGCTCCCAGGAGCCACAGGCAGAAGCACTGCACACTCCCTTCTCCCACACACTCCCAGCAAGAAGCTGCACTTCCATGCCTCCCCTAGCCTGTGCACGAGGATACCAGGTCCAGGGAGAACTCCTGCCGACGGTTAGGAGGGTCTGGGTTCGAGTCCCAGCTCTGCCTCCAAGTCTCAGTCCCTCCACTGTAAAATGGGGAGTGGCTGGCGTCGTGGGCACACACGATCCAGCCGGCCTTTTGGGGGGGCTCATGGTCAGTGCCCTCTTGGACGCTTGTTCCTCCTTATGAGTAAGAAACAGCAGTTCCTCCTGGGTTCCTAACCACGAGATGAGTCCACAAACTTCTTTTCTCTAGTCTATTATGTTGTCATTAGCAGGAACTAAAAGGTTATTGAAGGTCACCAAAAGCCAAGTGAAAATGAGAGTCCTGGGAGCTGTCTGTCAGGGTTGAGTGACAGCTCTGGCTAATAAGACTGCTCCTGACAAGGCACTGGTTTTCTGGACCTACTGACACGATGGGGCCAGTCTATTCATAGTGAGTGCTTGTGGCTCTGTGCCAGTGACAGCTGCGTGGTTACCCAGCGAGGAGCCATGATGCGTGTGCACATGGGAGGGCCTAGGCCTGGAGTGTCCCCAGTGGCCAGCATGAAACTCCATGTGTCCCCTACTGCCAGGGTAGACACTCACTGGGCTCCCCAGTTGGCTAGTTGAGGAGCATGGGGGGAGAGGCCACACCCAGTGGCACTCCAGGACTGACACCGCGTGCCCTCTTCCCACCTGGTGAAGGGACTCTGTGCTCCTCAAGGACCAGTCTCTTCATCTTCTCACCTGGCTCTCTAGTTGGAAGTCACCAAGTGGGAACAGGGGGCTGGCATGAACTGTGTCACCCCCACCATCCATCCAGGCTGCCTCTTGGTGCAGGCACCAGTGTCCAGGGAGGGTGGGGCTGGCAGGATGCCCCCTGGCCAAGATGAAGATGGGAACACTGGGCTGCCCACTTCACAGGCATCCTGGGCATGGGCCCAACGCTTGGAGCTCTTTGAAGACATCGCTGCTCTGTAGGGGCACGAGGCCAGGGAGAAGTCATATACCCAGCTCCACTCTACAGCCCTTGCAAAGCACAAGGGATGCTGGGACAGACAGGCACCTCATCTATACCCAGGACCTTCCTCCCACCACGCGCGGTCACTACCAAAACTACTGCGTGGCTCCCAGTGCTGCTCACCAGGCCTCCTGCTCGCCCAGGTCTCAGAGGGTGAGGTTTTGTAAATGTGGGGCTTTTCAATCTGGAGATGGCCAGGCTTTGTGGGCAGGCTCCTCGGGCATCAGGAGCACAGGGCTTCGCCAGCCTTCCCATTCCCAAGGGTGTCTCCTGAGGAAGCCATGGCCCTGGCGGCAGGACCCCAGCCTAAGGCCAGAGCCTGCAGCTCCAGGAACAGCTCAGCTTCCGTCTGAGCCTCAGGCCTGGGTATCTCTCCTAAACGTCAAACGGGAGTTCAAGCTCAAGTCGCCAGCGGCTGAACCAGCCCCAAGGCAGGTTTTGTTTAGCTCAGTCCGACATTTTAGTTTTTTTTAGATCAAGACTTTTACATAAAAGCCAAATGAGAAAAGAATGCGACCTGGGCCCACATTCCAATAGAGTGAGTCAGCAGGACACTGTACTCCGGCTCACCAAAGTCCCCACCTCTCCCTACCAATGACCACGTATCCTTGGCTGCCACCAGACCTTGGAAACCAAGGTGATGGGCCGCTGGGCCATGCTGCCCTGCAGAGCCATTAGTGAAGCCTAAAGTCCCGTCCACAATCCATGGGCTGGGTCGGGCCCCTGAGACGCCCCTGCTGCATGGAGCTCTGCTCCAGGAGCTGTCCTGTGGCCAGCACGTGGGTCCCCACTGCTCCCCGGCGCTGCATGGCCCTAGCTTTTGGGAGAGTCTTTCACAACTGGGGCACTTCAGAAGGTTACAAGGGAGGCGCTGGTGGAGAGTGGGGATGGGAGGCAGGGCGGGTGGAGGAGAGGGATGAAGGAATCTGACCAGTGGTGTGTCATAAAGAACTGAAACGCCACAAACAGGAAGCAGCTGACTAAGAGGCAACGCTGACCTGACAGTGGAATGTGAACTCCGGGGGCCTGAGTGGAACACGCACCCCTCCGCCTCCCTCCCTGCCAGGCCTGGAGAGCAGCCCCCAACGAGCCTCCCCTGGGAACACCCCAATTGGGAGTGTGCCTGCGCTGGAGGAAGGGGAGCCGAGGGGCCCAGCATCCTTCCCCTGCCTGGAGCAGCGGGACCCTAGCACTGTCTGGGGTGGCCAAGTGCTCCCTGTGCAGCCCTTCCTGCCAGGCGACTGCCCTCGGGGTGTCCCTTGCCCAGCTCAGGAATCCCAGATGCCTCCTTCCCAGAAGACTCACACCCGCGTGGGTGGGCATGGGTACAAGGCCCCTATGGAGCTGAGGTCTGCCTGGCTCATGCACCTTGCATGTTGCCTGGAGCCCAGACAGGGCCACGGTGGGGACTCTGGGGACAAATGACACCCAGTCCGAGGGGACCCAGGAGGGCCCCAGTTTGGCTGAGGGGAGGACTGGGCTTTGCTGAGGAGCAGCAGGGAGGGCAGGACCAGAGGAAGCTGGATGCCCAGGGGAGCCCTCTATGGGCTCCAGCCCCAACTTGACCAAGGCCTTAGGGGGTGCAGTCAAACAGGGGGAGCAAAGCATCAGAGAAGCAGGGCCTCTGGTGGCCACTGTCTCCATCCTGGAAGGGCAAATGTCATCTGTGGCCCTCTGAGCTTGGGAAGAGTGTTTTTTGGTGGTGGTGGTGGTGGGGGGCAGGGCCCCCTAAGCAACTGCTGAGTGGCCAGTGTAGCTGTGATTCTTGCCTCCTAGTGGCAGCCAGGGCCACCACCCACCCCTTAGGAGACTCTCCCCAAGAAGCTATAACCCAGCACTGCCTTGCTCACCTGATCCAAACCTCCCCCTTGTCCCCCATCTCTCAGAGAATGAACCAGAGTCCCAGGGCTAAACCAAGGTCAGTGACACAATGATGTGAGGTCACGGCAGTGACAGGGGTCACAGTAAAGTTCTTCAATTGGGCTGTATGTTTGACCATTCTTGCAATACAACATGAGGGGCTGAGAGGTGGCGGATCATGGCGTGTTGACATGAACCCACACCTGGGAACCTCCCACACTGCCAGGCGCCTGTGGTGGGCTGGCTCACTCCCTGGCAGTGAACTCCTGCCAACACAGGCCTGCAACGGCACAGGGAGCTCAAGGTCACCTCAGGGACTGTTGGCTCTCTGCCGGGGTGTCAGGCCTCTTCTGCACCGTCCTGCCTCCCGAGTGCCTCCCCAGATCAGCACACGCTGTGCCCATCCCCGGCCTGCACAGTGCCCACGGCCCCGACGGGCAGGGATCCATCAGGTGTACTGCAGACCTCGCCCACGCCTGTGAGCCCCACAGCCCAGCACTGAGCACAGACGCAGGCTGGATGAAGGGATGGCCACATGGGCTGCAAGGCCGTCTTCCAGCAGCAAGCGCACACTTCCGACCCAGCTGCGGGCAAGCCTCGGAGCCCAGCAGTGGCTGCGGGACTACAGGAGGTGGCAACTCAGATGCCTGGAACCTCCCCAGGTGACAGTGCGCCAGGCCCTGGTGCTCTCTCACCTCTCTCTCTAAACCGCATTTCAATACTGCCATCCTACACAGAGAAGCCAAGGGGCTTGGCCAGGGTCACCTCCAGGTGGTCAGTGGTGGAATAGGCACTCAACCCTGACTTTGGCCCTGCTCTGGCTCAGACTCTTGCTGGGACCCAGCCAGGGGCCATGATCCATGATGCCACATGGGCTATGACACTCGTGTAACAGCAGAGCAGGACTGGGAGCCACAGCCAGGAAGCACAGCCTTGGCTCCACTTGTGCCACCTCTGTGTCCTGCCAGGTGCCCCCTGGGCGGGAAGGGACAACTGCACTTACCAGGGATGTGGATCTTGAACTTGCCACTCTGGCCAAAGGCGCTGTCGATTACCCCCTGCTCCCCGGTGGACAGGTGCACCCTGAGTCCCACGAAGAGCTGAATGTTGGTCTCCTTTTTGAACAGGGAGCGTCCGATCACACTGTAGTCGTCCATTGCCTGTCCCCGCACAACCAGCCAGAGAGAAAGGAAACATTAGTAGGGCACACTGAAAGGGCGGGCCCTGCGCCTGCGCCTGCTGCACCCTCTGAGAACACTGAGGGGAGCGGGCTGAATGAACGGGAACAGGGCGGAAATCAGACTGGCAACAGTCAGTCCTCAACGCAAGCCCCCTTGGAGCAGCTCCCAGGGGTGGCCATCGTAGCTCCCGTGCAACTCTGAGAGCTCCACTTCATAGACGAGGAGATGGAGGCACAGCAGTGACGTCCGCTGGGCAAGGTCAAGCACTCCCAGGACAGAGCAAGCCTGGAACCCAACCCCACCCAGGGTACCTGCCCAAGATAGCCAGCAGCCTTCTCCTTATTGAAAGTGTTCATGGCCGCTGCGGCCCAAGGAGGTGACATCCACTTCCTAAACCCTCACCCCAGCTCTGGATTCCCCCTAAGAGTCCCTGAGAACCAGCCTCTGCCTGCCCATCTGCACCCGAGACCCATCTTGCCAAGGCCCAAGTCTGCCTGTGCTGTGTCCTGGCCTGGCCCACTCCCATTCCCCAGCCTGCTGCTCCCCTTCCTGTCTCCTGGGGGCTGGGACAAGACTGTGCTGTAGTACTCACATCCCCTGCTGGCCGCCGTGAGCACCCTGCTGTGTCAGCACCCCTTTGCCTCTTTGTGGGTGCCTGGGCTAAGCAGAGGGACACTCAGGAGCATGAAAACATCACCACCGGGAGCTGTGTTCACCTGGACCCTTCTCGCCAGGGCTTGACTGGACCGGAAGTGTGATTCCCTCCCTCCTGGGCCTCTAGCTGCTCTGGCCTAAGCTGTGCCTTCAGGAAGGGCAGCGAGGCCACGTGGCCTCCCCTGCCCTGCACAGAGCCTCTCTTTGCCATCCCCACTCTGTAGATGTCGCCTCTAACAGCTAACACAGACATGATAAGGTGTACCTGCTAGGTTGGAGACTGCTGCTGAAACTACAAACATACCCCTCTGACCCCTCGATACCACGTGCAGGAATGCACTCCACAGATGGGCCTGCCCAGGTGGGCACTACCGAGCCTGCTCACTGCAGCAGTGCTCACAGTGGCAAAAGCGGAATGAACTTCAAAGTCCAGCCAAGTTCCACCAAGTGGTGTACAGCCCCTGGGGACTGCACTGTGACCGCAGGGAGGAGCAGGCAGCTCTGTGGGGACACCAGCACCCTGGGGTGTCGAGTTCCATGTTAACATACAGAATGTGTGTAGGGCATGCTGCCGTGAGCACAAATGGGAGGTAGGGAGATGATGGAAACAATCAGAGAAATAGGAAGGGAGCAGGTGCCCAGAGTGCGTCTCACCTGGTACTTTTCCTACCCTTGCTGTGTGAATACATAAATGTGCTTCCTATTCAAAAATAAGCTCACAGCAAACCAAGAGGTGCCTTCTACCCACATGTCAGGCAGGCCTTCCACTCCTGCTGGCAACCTCTCCAGAGACAGGGTTGCCTTGTTTTGTTTGGCCACTTTTTTTTTTTTTTTTGATAGGCAGAGTTAGACATAGCTCCGCTATGACCAGAGCTATGCCGATCCAAAGCCAGGAGCCAAGTGCTTCCTCTGGTCTCCCATGCAGGTACAGGGCCCAAGCATTTGGGCCATTCTCCACTGCCTTCCCGGGCCACAGCAGAGAGCAGGACTGGAAGAGGAGCAACCGGGACAGAAGCGGTGCCCCAGCTGGGACTAGAACCTGGGATGCCAGTGCCGCAGGCGAAGGATTAGCCTAGTGAGTCGCGGCGCAGGCCATGGCCACTTCTGATATATCACGGGCAACATCTATAGCCCCCACTCCCAACCACACAGCCCGTCTTGGGTCTCACGCTCTTGGCTGGAGTGCAAATGCTCAGGCCTCTGTACCGTTGTTCACCCCCCACCCCACCCCAGTTGCCCTCTCTTCCCACTGCCACCTGATGGACTCCAACCCAGCCTCCAAAATCAAAGCCACAGGTGCTGTGGGCTCTTTCCTGGTGCAGCTGTGCCCACAGTGATAACCCTGTGCACATGCAGTGAGCGCTCTACAGCACCGGGTCTAGACAAAATTTCTTCAGAGCAGGGGTTGGGTCTGCTTTATTTCCATTCATGAAAAACCTGGATTCCCTGATGTGTTAGGCAGTCATTTACTGAGCTCCAGAATGGGGCAGTGGGTATGATGCTTATAACATGGGCTCTGGAGCTGCAACGCCTGGCTTCAGACCTACTAGCCATGTGGCCCTGGGCAAGGTGTGCCTCGGTTTCTCCAGGAGGCAGTGTGAAGAGTAAGGTGTGAGGCACTCAAGCACTTGGGGAAGGCGCTGGCATTCAGTTGAGAGGCATGGGAAGAAAAAGCTGATGTAGACAGAGCCGCTCGTGTGGCAAGGCAAGCTGATGCTCCACAAGCAAACTCGTCCACCTGTGACGAGGTGGACTGAGTGCTGTGCGCAGAAGCAGGCGCTGGGAGCCCAGGGATCACCGGCCCCCGGCTGCAGCAGTCAGAGGGCATCCCGAAGCCTGCCCCCAGGCAGGACTGAGCTGGTCTTGCAGAGAGGACTAGTTCTGGGCAGTGGGGCAGGGATACAGCAGGACCCCCAGAGGCACTCTGTGGGCAAGGGTACAAGTCTGCAGAGAGGCCATGCACAGCGAGCACACTCGGCCTTGCAGACATGCCCACTCAGGCCCCAAATCTTCCTGCAGACCAGGGGAAGCTGTGGGGCCTTTCAGAGGAGCCGCGTATCTGACCTGTGGCTTGAAACCCCTCGGGCTGCCTCAGGAGAATGGCTCAGTGGGGGCAGGACCATATGTAAGAGAAGAGGGGACTCAGGCTGGAGAGCACAGGACAGAGCCTGCCAGGCTCCCTGCAGGTGCACCCAAGTAAGCGTCCCCCAGTGGCAGCTGTTACCTGCCCTCCCGAGTCCGGAAGGCTGGGCGGCCAGGGCGGCAGTCCACCTATAAAAGGCTGATAGTGAGGGCCATATCCTGGAGGAACGTGAGGGTGGCCGGGCTCAGTTCACAGGGAGAAGGGGCTTGCAAGAGGGCACAAGGCCCAAGGGCCATGCCTATACCACCCCTCACATGAAAGCCGTCAGGCTTCTGGCCAGAGTGTGCCCGCCCGACTTCAGACACTCGTACTTCCTGCTTCACAGGAGCGTCCGTCGCCGGGCGCACTGAGCTAGTTTACACACAGTTCTCACGAAAGGCAATTCCCATTGCTGCTGTGAACAGAAACCACTGGCCACGGACAGCAGGTGGCCGGAGAGGAAACCCAGGAGAACAATGGCACGAAGGCCTTGTCCGTTCTGCTCACTGTGGTTTCCCTCCAAGTCCAGAGTCCCTGAGCAGGGAGGGGCTGTGCCTCGGGGGGAAGAAGAACAGGATGCATATGTGTGTGTGTGTGTATACATGTGTGTAGACGAGCTGTGCTCCTAGGTGACACAGAAAGGCTGGCGGAGCCTCTGAGGCTCATGGCTGTTTCCCAGCAGGGCTGCGTCCCACACACGGGCCAGGCAGAGTCAGCGCCACCTCTGCTGGCACTCAAGGCTCTGCGTGAAGAGCTACAGGGAGAACCGCGGTGGCCTCCCTGCAGTGGGCCTGTGGCCTGGGTGTGGCCCACGGAGGCAGTGTGGCCTCCACCCAGCTACCCCCTCCTGAGGCTGAGACTCCTGGGGCCCCGCTGGGGCACTGAACGCTCAGCCTCAGAAACATCTCGCTTCTACCCAAGGCGCCACGATTTGGCCAAGGGCCCCAGATGGATTGTTTTGAAAAGCAGAAACTGTCTCATTTACCCTAAAAACCTTTTGGAAAAACAGACCCTCTTCTATTTGATTCATAGCACTAGATAAAAGGTACTTGCATGCCTCCTCTCCCTGGTGATTGATGAATCGGATGCAAATAATGATAAGAATAATAATTTCCACTGGCGCAGCCTTTATAATTCACAAGCTTCGTTCGCACACATGAACTCCCCTCGTCCTTCAGGCCTCGGCTCCAGCAGGACTCCCCCAGGGCTGTCCCTGCCCCCCAGCCTGCTGCTGTCGGGGGTGCCCTGCCTCCCACTGTACTGTGCATCCAGAGAGGTCAGCTGAGGGACCTGAACAGAGGCGCCGCCTCCCACTGCTCAGGGAGGACACGGAGAGCCAGGGCAGGCGGACACCCTGGTCCGCAGTGGCACAGGAGGCCCTGGCTGCGTGCCCAGCCTTTGCCTGCTGCTTTCCAGGTAGAGAAGGACCCAGTGCTCCAGCCTGGCTGGGAGCCTGGGGCAGGGTCCACACCCACCCATGCTCTGCAGTGCAGCCTGGCACAGTGCACATCTGGATATGGCTCTGGCTGGCCCTTCCATGCTGCCTGTGACAGGGTGTGCAGCGCTGCCTGGTGTCCAGTCTGCCCTGCAGCCTGGGCTGCCCAGGCATTACTGGGGTCCCCTGGGGCTCTCCCACCACCCTTGTCTGCAAGGGGTTTTCATCTTTCCTCAAAGGGGACAGAGCTGAGGCTCAGAGACAGGACCTAGGGCAGCCGAGGTCATGCATGGGTCAGCAGCACAGCCGGAGTTCAGGTCCAAGCCTGCCAGCCCTTTGCAAAGCCCGTGCTGAGGTGCTCAAGAGCAAGGCCAGCGGCTGACTGCGTCCAGGGGCCCCTTGGGCTGTAGGAGCTAGCCCCAGGCCTGGGCTCGGCCCTCAGGACAGAGCCCACCGAGACACAAGGCTCGTGATGCAAAAGGCACACAGTCCTGGGACCAAACGCTCTCAGCCACCTTAGCAAAGCACTTTACTGAGAGCATGACTGGGGCCAGCTGGCCAATCCAGGCCACTGCCCCAGCAGACAAGTTCTCAGCAAGCTGGTATTAACACTTCTCCCCTCTGCGCTAAAGTGCACCCTGAGGGCTCACCATGTCCCCAGTGTGTGGCTGCAAACAACCCGAACCCCAGCGGGACATCACAGCTGGCGTTCTCCCTCCAGCCCACAGCCTTTGGACTTCCCAGGGGCAGATGCTCGGGCCCCATCTC